GCGGACCCTTCGCAGAGCTGAGATGTATCTCCATCCGTCTTGACTCTTCCATCAAAGTTTAGCTTGACGCATGCTAGATTGAGCACGGATTTCTGCCCGCCGAATGTTTTCCGTCGAGGTTTTTGCTCTGCACTCCTCCCGCTTTGTGACAGGTCTCCGAGTGGCTGTCTTTCGGAGAAGTTCCTCCTCAGTTTTTCTCGTTACTGTTCGATCTGCCCTGTTTTAAATTTCCGCTACGCTGGCTCTCGAGCGGGTTCCCTCGACGGATCGGAGCGAAGGTGGGACAATTTGTGAGAGCCGCAGAGCGTGATGAAGGCCTTGATCGGGCATCCATCTTCCCTCCAGCGAGCGGGGAAAAAGCAGAGACGAAAGATTGCTCCATTGAGGGAGGGTATTAGGAAGAGCAATGTTGCCGAAAAATAATAGGCTCGACTTTCTGGCGGAATCGTCACTGCAGACTTCGCAGATGGTTTTTCCCGGATGGGAGGGATTGCAAGACCTCAGTGATGGAGGAAAAGACGAGAAGTCATGGCGTTTCCGGTATACGAAACAAAAACATCTCCTATCAATCGGGAATCTTGTCTTTCTTTCCTCTGGCAACTTCGTCTAGTTCCGATGGCAAGGTACCGACGCCGTTGCTCTTTTTGACTCGATTGATAGAGAATGATCAATGAAACATTCGAATCTTGAGAAATCGTACAATGAGCGGCGCCGGACATTCAGTGTCGAAGGCGGGAAAACGAAGTTTGTACTTCTCCATTTACGCTATAAAGGCGCCTCCACGGGGAGCTCATCGTGGATTTGATTCAATTTATGAATGACTCATGATGATCTTCCCAGAGCTAGCATCCCTGCCAGAATGGGAAAAACTGGCAGGGATTGAACGAGAGCTACGACTCCGCGAATGCCGACGCCAAGCCAGAAATGACTGATGACCCGACGTATTCACTTCGTACACGTATAACGAAAAGCATCTGATCGTCGTTCTTGTTCATCTCGGTGTTTTCCTTTGCTTCCATCATCCCCATTGTCGTGATGATACTAACGGCACGGCCGCGCACTTCGAGCGGCGGCATGAGCGAAAGCAGCAGCTGCCGAAGCTGCAACAAGCGGTGATCGATATCGTCATCAATGACGCCCCAATAAGAAGCTTCGCAATCTAGGTAGGTAATTGTTTTCTGATTGTGGAAGCAAGCAGTTCCCCTCGACGTATCGGAACGCCAGTCATCCCGCGCATGGAACAGGAAGCGGAGGACAAGTGCTACTTCATGTATTCAACTTCATCGCTATGTGGAGTGCTCCTTCGGATCGACGTCGATCGCACACGCATAGGCGATCGTCCCGGACCTGCATCGATGTTTTCGTGAATGATGATCATAGCGATGATGACGAAGAACAGGAGTTGCGCGGAGAAAAGAAAAAGGCGATGCGGATCCGCCATGCACAAATAACACTGACTTCCACCGTGAGGCGAGCGAGTCGGATGGAGCCCCAGATGAATGGTCCCGAAAGCAAACTCGCCCACGGAACGGAAATTCATCGGTCAATCTTCTGCTCGGGCTGAATATCAATATGCAGAGGTTCGGACTGATGGTCGAATGGAGGTAGCAATGTGTGTAGAGATTGATGGGGCATGGACCGGGGAACTTCTCGAGGGTTCGAGATGCACATTCTGCAGGGTCGTGGATACCCGCGATCCGAAGGTATATTTCGATCGCGTATCCGTTTCTGATTCTAAGGCGACGAGATTAGAGTGGATCTGATTTCCATAGATTTAGAATGGAATCCGTGGCGGAATTCTGTGCGTGCATAATTGTCTCCTGGCGACTCGTCCGATCGCTATTCATGCCGGATATCATGCTTTCATCGAGATATCCATGTGTGTCTCGTCTCAAGCTCCCATACTGGAATAAGACATTTACCTCTCGATCGGCAGACGCCGTGATGGAATCTGCGGAATTCCGTCTACCGAGAGCGAAAACATCCATTGCCTCAGCGGTCTCAATCGAATGGAGGATTTTTTTTCACAGAGAGAGATTGGACCGGAAAAAAGCCAACCCGTGAATCGTTCCCTGATTTTGAGTGTTTTCCCTCCTCCAATTCGGGGGTGTTCGAGGTCGGCCAAATATTGTTTCACCGGCGGCAGGCCGGTGGAAGATCCGTGTTTCGCGCGTGCTGAGCGTCAATGACTCTTCTCGCTCAACTCGTCGGACGGCACCGTCTGACTCGTCTGTCTGACATCTGTCCTCCGTCGGGAATGACTGAAAATTGATCCGTGGCGTGCCAATCGGAATGTCACGGCGGATGGAGTCACGACTTTGCAGAAAATCGTAAGCAATTTATGCGCGTGTATGGCCTGCTTCGAGGACAACAACACAATCAGACCATCTAGCCGATCATCGACGAAAGAGCCAGGCAAACATTCTTCATTGGACTCTGAAAGATTCACGAGTTCATGAGACTGAGTGAGAGCATCAACGTGGACAAGCAGCGTCACCGCCTCGGACGGCGGCTGCGGCTCGTAGTGGGACTCTGACATCTTCCGAGTTTCGAAACTCGAGTACATACATATTGTTTGGGAAGTCGACCTCAGGAGACCTGATAAGGTCCTGAATTAGGAGGACTGAAATGCTATAGCCTGATCTTGTCGTTGGTTTCTACTCCTTCTTCTCCAGTTGCAGACATCGTCGACGCGTTGAAGAGCCGCCGAATACTTCCGAAGCGGCGCTCGACTAGTTTTATTCGAATGGCATCCTGCTAAGACCCAGTCGACAAAACGGCATTCTATTCAATCTAACAATGGATCCTTTAAACTCATCATGCGTTTGTGTGGCGGTGTCGCTCGCGGTACTATCTGGTTGCTGCTCCTTAGCCGCTTGGTTGCCAAGTCGCTCGAGTGACTGATTGTGAATTTAGGGACCGCCAGGCGAATAGGATCTGTTTGTCTTCGCTCGGTGGCGCCCTACTGAAGGGTGGCATGATTTTGCATTACAAAGACCGCTCCTTTTTCGCGCTATTCCTCCCGTCCCGCGCTCATCGAGGCTCTGCTGATTTCATCTCGCTCGGAGCCTCGCGGGAAGAACTGCGGTCTGAACGAGTCAATCATCGGAAGTTGAGTTTTCCCTCGCATACCGTGGAAAAGCGATCGCATCTGATTGAATGCTCCATGATGGCTCGGACTGCGGCCAGGGCTCCTGAACTCGAACTCTGCGATTCCAGAAGTCGAGCTCATGGAATCTGAGCTACCATATCGTAACTCTCCATCCTCTCGGTGCGTAAGTACCGTGGGACATACGGGAATTCTGACAGGAGTCTGGGAGCATCTGGATCCGAATTTGGGGCGGTGATTGGAGTCCCTTGACCTTCCCTATCAACCTCCCAAGTGCCGTATAGAAGAGTGCCTGACACCTCGCATCTCAATCTGTGTAAGTGACAGATTGCACAGCAAAATTGTCGTGGCCTCAGATTTTCTCCGCGGTTTCCACCGACGACAGAATAGGTACGCTCGCGAGGAAGATGAGTGACGGTTTTTCACCCAATACTCGACGGTTGACGGGGATTGTCGAAACCGTATGACGCGTCAATAAAAAGTGATGCATTGTCATACTGCGGAGGGGAGAGGAATGTTCCCGGGAATGTCCGGGAACAGTCTCGGTGGCTGCATAATGAGTGGCGGAGAACAAGATTAGACAATAATTCTATTTCATTATTGAGGAGTTCCCAGAGTGCTATTGTCGAGGTAGTCGTCAACGCAGATATGATGGTGTTGTTAAGGTGAAGGTGTCTCGTGCAGTTTTTTCATCTGCTCGTTGCGCGAAATGGGGGCTCACAGTTACAATGCAATGCGACGGGAGTCAGCTCCTTGACGCTTCACAACGAAATATCATGGCGGAGTCACGGCAGGTCGTTTTCGCCGCGGAATTTAATGTACTGCTTCAGCCGAACGAGGCATCTTCAATTACGGAGACGATTTCACAGAGAACATCTCACTGGAATTTTCTTCGCGCTGGAGTGTCAATCAAATGTCTTTCCTAAAGTCGGCGCCAAAAAAAACTGTACTCGGAAACAAGAAAAAGAGCTAAAATAAGCTCTTACTGGAAGGATTCGGTTATGTCACAGTGTGTCGCGGATCTTCAAATCTTAACCTGCTCAACACGGTGAGCACTTCGTCATTCTGCCCGGATTTGTAAGAACAGCTGATTTCGACTCACAGAGCGGAACAAAAGCGATCATATAATAGATCCTCGCCAATGAAGAATGGGGTAATCGCGCTGGATATGACTGGAATTACACCCAAAGAGTGAATCCAAGCGAAGCGTCGCAGTGCTGTCGTTTCGAGGCGTCTCTTCATGGATCGATTGTAACTCGATCGGACCGCCACCACCGATGAAGAAACCTGTGTGATGGGAACAAACATTCATTGGACTTTTTCCAAGATACCGGAGACCGATCCGAAGCTCAGGATCAGTCCTCGGCATCAATTCTCGTATTCTCCTCGCTCGATGACATTTTTTCCTCGTCGGCTCTAACTCATGCATCAGGTCATCGAATGAGAATCGACCAAGGGAGGAGAGCAGGGGTCTTACGGCGTTGCGGTGACTTCCGAGGAAACGGTTCTCTTTCCGTGGGTGACGCATCGGAGAGTTTTCCTGACGAATCCTTCGACTTATCGCTTCTTTGGCGTGGGATTCATATCTTCGAATCACTGTTTACTACGTATGCTCTCATTATTGCCCGATGGAGCCCCTCGACCGACTGGCAGACGGGCAGACCCTCCGACCGGTGAACTACGGTATACAAGGTCACTTTCATTTCGACGTATGATATCCCTGTTCGATCCTGACGTCATGCCGCAGTACCGTTTTCTGTGGGGACTTCACTAAAAGGAGAAAATGACGTACAAACGTGACGTCTCTCTCAGCCCTCTCCGAAAAGAGAGACTGACTGACCAGCGAGTCTTGAAGATCGGCTCAGAGAATGCCAGGCTCAACTGGAGCTGCTATGGAGACTCAGTGATCGCATTATTATTATTCATCAGTGAGTGCTATTCCCTGCGCATCTGGACAAAAAAGATCACTGACGATTTTGAGAAAAGAAACTGTGAGTCCAGAGGCATCGGTTCCTCCCAGAGATCACTCGCGAAAACCTAACGGCAGATGGAGTTCCAATATGTAGATTGACTCAGAGTTCATGGTCAAGAGGTCTATTGGTGAGCTTCGACGATCCGATAGGCTACTTCGGAGTTCCTGATGGGTGACTGTCGTGGATTCGTCTCCTATAGGAATGATTTCCGGAGAGTCCTTGATGTCATAGAATTCCTGCGCGGAAGACCTGCCAGAACGAATCTCCAACACTGCCATCTTAGGCTACAGGCCCGATACATATCGTGTCCCCCGAACTCGATCGGGTGACGGCTTTTGTTCGCAGTCGAAAGATACGACGAACGCATTTTCTGTTCTGTAGCGAGCCCCTTATCCCCGCAGAAAGTGCTGGTTGAGTAATGCTGGCGGGGGAAAGCAAGCGTTTCTCGTTCGTGGAAGCATTCTCCGATCGGTTCCCACATGTTTTTCCGGTGACTTTCCGCGGTCATCGGAGCGATCATCATTATTGAACACGCGATCTTGTCCAGGGCGAGAAATTCTCCTAGTAAGCCCGATAATCATCATTCTCCTCAGCCCCGACTCTGCTTAGATATTATCTCCGGGAGACGGAATGTCCGTTGACGGTTCCCATTCGTTCTCTTCCTCTCGGACTCGGACGCGCGATTCGATTTGTTGTTTCACTGTGCTTCCCAGTTTTGTGTTGATCCGCAGCTCTTCACGAGGCTCAAATCTTTCTTCTTCATTCCAGATACGATGCGGTCGCGGTACAAACGACTCATATGGAGTATGCTGACGCTGTGTGCAGTTCAAGGAACGCGGGAATCCCGTCCCACGGTTACGAGTCAGCCGTTGATAAGCGGGCCGTCTCTGAGTCCAGTGTACAGACCGTCAGACGCCGTAAAGCCGATCCGCCAAGGACAAAGCGGGACCATTGTTTTCACACGTGAGTTCTGAAAACATTTACAATTCAAAAACTTCATTCGCTCGTAAATAGAACGAACGGTGATTCGACAGAAGCTTTGTGTCCGACTCAAGACAACACGGTGACCGAGTTGAAAAGGTATTCTGGAGCCGGAAGACGCCAATATGTGAAAGCGGAGAAGACCAGACGCCGACCGGAGCGGGCCTAATCAAGCAGTCATCAGGCGAGCGTGGAGAACTGAATTCGGATGATTCTGAAGTTGACTATTGTTGCAGAAGAACGTACGCTATCCCGAGTGGCGCCCACGTTGTCGCCGTCGCTGGTCGAGGAACCGAGCGCACAGGACCGAACTCTCGATTCGTCGCCGGAAATGGAAAGCCTTGTTGACGTTTCCGCGGTTCACCGTAACGACATTCACGAAGTTCCCCAGATCTGCAACCGAACCTGCTATCGATCGAAGAAGGAAGGCAAAAGTCTATCACATCTCGAGGTAATAAGACGAACGATCGACAGGAATTTCCTCTCGAAGACGCGTCGGAGAGCTCCTTCAATACCGCGCATGCGTCGATGGTCGATATCGATGAACAGTCTCGTGGACTGGGAATTCCCAGAGATTGTTCTCGCGCTTTGCTCTAGTCAACTTGAAGATCAAGAAGTGTTTTTCTTCCTCCCCATCCTCGGCCATTTTTTTTCTGTGCCAAGCCGAAAGACCTCATCACCGAGTATTTCTCCTGAGTTGATACGAGATAAGTGGGACGGGAGCTCTAAACGTATGTGGTTTCCGCGGAGAATAATTTACGATCGAGGACAGATGATTCCGAGTAGACGGGGCCGCCTGAGTATTTCATACTCGCTCATTTTATGATGCAATGCAGTAAGCGGGCGACTCTCGGTCTCGATTCCCGAGCTTGTATATCGCGGGACGACCTTCTTTTTGCATGGGACGAGCTTTCAGATTCGGATTCGATGAGCTCTTATCCGGAGTCTAAAAACCCTAGGGAGAGACATCGAGCGGGTAATAGTCCGGGATATCCCGCCGAATCCCCCAGATTCCATCAACATAGGTGGCGAATCGCCGCCGTCTCGACTCCACCTCCCGCACGTCAAGCTCATTCGTCACTAACTGATTTTCAAACGAAATGTTTCCAGGATAAGTTCGTGCGGATGGATCACTGCTCGTGCGATCACGAGTGCGGCTCGTTCGGCGATTGCTGTCCGGACGTCGTTGCCGCAAAAGACAAACAGGACTGGCAGTGCTTCGAAACGTCCGGGAAGGGATTCTGGGCGAAACAGACGTGTCTCCGCACTTGGAACGGAGACGCAAACATAATTTCCGGCTGCGAAGACGTGAGTTTCACAACTCGACTCTCGAGAATCGTCCGAGAACTCGCACATTTGGTTCTGAGCTCTGAGCGTCGCATGTTCGCGAAGCTTCAGCGTTCGATGACAACAGCAATCGAAAGATCCGATTCACTCCTCGTCACGACGCGACGTCGGCGATGAACTGACCGTGATTATTATGATTACAGGGGGAAATCGGTGACCTCTCCGACCCCTTGAAAAGAGCACCCGTAACTTCGACGGCGTCGAATCTCACTTATCGTAACATGCTTTGTGCAATCTGCAACGACGATGCCGAATCAATCCTCGTCTGGACAGTCCGCCTCGAACCTAACTTCGATGTCAATTCGGCATCGGTCGAGATGACAGGTAGGTCGCGAGCAGGTCAATTTATACATTGTAACACCGGGTGCTGGGGTCGATGAGCTATAAGGATATCGATCTTTGCATTCTTCGCCTATGAATGACAAGCTTCTCGCGGAGTCGCAGTCCTGAGATCCGTTATGATTAAAGGCAACCAACCCGTGCCGGAAGTGAGCCCGGATTTACATACAATGCGTTTCTCTAAACAAAGAAACGCATGGTTGATCGCCGGGCGCGAATACAGGACATCGTACGTCTTCCCGCGAATCAACGAAACAGTCGTGGCTCCCCCGCCTTGCGTTCCTGTCATAGAAACCTGTCGTCAGCAATTCGAAGGTGAAACATTCGATCCATCCATCCAGCCGCGCTTCATTCGGAGCCTTTCCTTTTCACGAGAACTCGCATCTTCAGATTAATACAGCATTGGGAACCAATATCAGGCCTCCATGCGCGGGTATCAGTCTCATTATCTGCCCTGTCGATTTTTCAGGCAGCGAATTGGAAAGACAGTGCCAGAATTATCATTCGGCGGTCAGCACTCCGTTCACGAGCTACAAGAACCTCCACTGCGCTTTGTGCAACGGGGAGAGTCCCCGGAACCTGACGTGTGGTTTTACTTCGAATTACGATTTGGAAGCGAGGATCCTAAGCGGCTTCGCCATCTTGCTGGATTTCTCGGGCGACGGGAAAGTTGCTTGGAAAAAGCCCTGCGCCGACCGATCGCAGGTGCGCTTCGAAGCTCGAGCGTTTCCGAGCCTCTTATCGGAACGACCTTGGTTCAAATTCAACTTCTCGATCATGCTGATTTCGTTCGGCAGAATCGCTCAAATCGTGGAAAGAGCGATTGATGAATCGAATGATACTCTTTCGATACCATTGTTCGGCTGACGAGTGACCTGGAGGCGATTTTCAGATCTACGATCCGTTCCACAAAAAATGTCGCGACATCATTTGCGACCGGCCTAACTACATCTATCGCAATAAGCGCTGCGTATCGAAGAACCAACCGGTCGTTGACGATGACTCCGAGCTGTTTGCCTCTAGCACCGATCAGCCGCTGAATTCCACACAAATGGTTTATTCGCGGAAATTCCTGGAATGTCCGCAGACATTCCTCAACAGAGATGAATTTTCTCTCATGAAAAACAGTTCGATTTTCGTCGAGAGGTACAACGCCACCTTCAAACCAGGTAGGAACGCCACGGGGAATTATTTAGTCTGCTACAAGAATGTTCAGATCATTTTTCTCCTTTGTTTTCGCGATCGATGAATATATCGATGTCGGGGGAAAGCAACCGTCGGTTCCGCCGTGTAAACCAGCCCATTTTCCAGGCAATTATCTCCTCACGGAATCGGGAGCCTACATCTGCCTTTATCTGCTCAATTTGACAGCGGATGAGCTGCCGAAATTTTCCCTCTATATGGGTTATATCTCCGCGGTCGGTCTGGGGATTTCCATAGCTTGTCTCCTCCTCCATTTGTCGGTCTTCATTATCTTGCCCGAAATGAGGAATCTTTCCGGGAAGAACCTTGCGAGCCTGTCGGCATCGCTCCTCGTAGCCTACGCTTCTTTCATCTCCGGTCAAGTCGACGATTCCGTAGCCGGTACACCGACCTGTAGGGGGATCGCCCTGGTGACCTACGCTGCGTTCCTGGCCTCCTTCTTCTGGATGAATTCCATGTCTTTCGACGTGTGGCGGACTCTCAGGATGGCGACCAAGGAACTCAGAGTCACCACCGGGCCGCAGTGGAAACGATTCATTTTCTACAGTATCTACTCGTGGGGTGAGGAGCGATGATTTGATATCATGGCTGCCTACCGATGATCCCCGTACTTGTATTGGAGCAATGCGATCTCCCGTAGGGTACAGCCTCTCAGTGCTTATGTACCCTGATGTTATTCTAGGAATGACGGCCTTCATCGTGGGACTTTCTGTGGTCTTGGAACATGATTCGAACATACTGCCCTCCGAATATCGACCTGCTTTCGGAAAGTACTCGTGCTGGTTCGGTCATCGGAAAGCGCTACTGGTGTTCTTCGTCGCGCCCACAGGTACGTGAATGTCGGAGACCCGGATGTGGCTAGGGTGGGAGAAGGACGAACATAGGCTCAAGTTTCCCCGTGCGTGAACGATTTGTGTGTGAGAAATCGGAGAACTCTCGAGTCTCCACTGGATACCGAGGAAAATGAGCATCTGAGTCGGCTACCGGTGCTTCGAAAAAAGTGGGAGAGAAAAGCGCGTTAAAAGCCCTTCTTGCCATTTCAGGCGTTATAATGCTGCTGAACATATTATTCTTTATCATGACCGCTGTGATGATCCTCTCGTCGTCCGCGAGCTCCGCTGCCATCGTGCGAGACCCCTGCAGTTCTGTGAGAACAAACTACAGACTGTACTCAAGATTGGCCATCATGATGGGATTGGTGTGGTGCACAGGTGAGTTCTATCGAAATACTGGATCTCTCCTCGAAAGTCGAATACTATTGAATCAGTTCATCAGTGGTTGGATGGGGCGCATGGAATCGAGGATAAGCATCGTGTCCCCTCACTCCTACAGGCTTCGTCGCCGGTTATTTGGACAATGAGGTCATATGGTACATATTCATCGTATTGAACACACTGCAAGGATTGTTCATCTTCATTGCATTCTCATGCACCAAGAAAGTCATGTGGTTCTGCAAAGACCGACTTCCTGACTTCCTCAAACCTTCAATATACAGGCAAGTTCTCCGACAGTATAACGGGGCCTCAAACGGATTCGTTCTCTTGAATGAGCCAGAATTGGCCATCCCGGATCACATCGCGGCGGATTCTGCGCTTTCCGCGATGTGGACAATTTCAATCTCGTTCCGCTTTCTCTGTTCGTGGAATTCTGGAGGTAGAGCGAGACAGCCAGCTTCCGATAGAGTGAAATAGAAGGCGTGTTGACTCAAGTATCGTATGAAATGATGCACGCAGCTCTTGGTTCCGCTCAAAATTCACGACCGCGGCGACTGATGGCCCGGTTCCATCGACAACAACAACCACAGCTCCGAACTCCAACATTTAGATCCTTTGAGAAGTTGTAAGCAGACCTTGGTGTGGCCAATGTACGACGCTTGTTTGTCTTGGACAAGAGTTGATTGAGTCCAACCTGCGCTGGCATCCGTGTTCCTTACATCTGAGAGCATGCCTCGGCCTTGAGAGATACGATGATATTGCGAAGAATCTACCGTCGCTAACATCATGTAACCATCGTGTTGCAGATCGTCGGTTTCGTCGAATTCGTCGAGCAGTCATTCGGGCTCGACGCATCACACAGGATTGTCGCGGAGATCCTCTCCGAGATCGTCGGTCAACTATCGACACACCGCGCCATATCTCATCTATGGGGAAAACAACAAGCTCGACATGTACTGAGGATTGATCCTCCCAGTCGGAAGCGGGAAAGAAATTCCGAGCATGTGTGATCGGCGGCCTGGTCTCCAGTAAGAAGATTCGGTCACGCCGCGCTGTCGAGACCGCAGTTCACGATGGCAAACACGCTCCCCACGCCAGGGTGCCACTCCTTGTCTGCAGTTGTCTCATTGAGGATAAGGGTGGCGTCCTGGCGCCGAGTGCCTCCGTATAGTTATTGCGAGGTGCTACCTGCACAGATGATTGCTGAATGATGATAATTGTTAAATTTCTGACGAACGCTCGGCGCTGACCGAACTCATTATGGCTTACAATCCCGGAACGGATTGGAATTCCTTGTTGATTTCTTATTTTCTCACCCCGACTCTCCCCAATAGTCAACGTGGCTCTGGTAGCCACTTTTTTCTGTACATAGTGTAAATATATCGACATAGTGACATAATGGGAGCGATAATAATGTATAGCGGTCATGTGCGTTCATTGCTCATTTCTGTACAGTTTGTCAGTAGAGGGGAAGCCGTCCTGATCCCGACTGAGTGATTAGTGAGACACTGGACCTCTCCAGGATTTGTTCCAGAGGCCTTCGGATTGTACTCAGTCTCTTTATTTAATCTCAGGGCCAAAAGTCGAATTTCCGAAAGAGATATTTGTTCAATAAATGAGCGAGTACTGAAAGACGCGGAATACTCCATGACGGTGTCCTTGTCTACAGACCCTGCCTATGGACACAGGACTCTGCTGATGCTGGCGTTCATTTCCTGTGATTCCGAGTAGGTCTGTATGGAGAACTTCAGGCTACCGCCTCCATGATCTGCGAGGGAGTACACATCTCCAGGGTTTTCCAGCTGGCGCATGTACTCGTCTACCATGGGATCAGAGAAGTGATCCGACGATGAGTGTAAAGATTTGAATCCAGTCTGGAATCCATCCAGCCCGGAATTCCCCGGTGATAAGACTCGATTGGTAATCGCGCCCTGTGGTCACTCGGCAGAGATTTTGGATTGACATCAAAAGTGTGGCCGAGTGGCGAGTCCGCTTGCGAGGAATACGAAATCGAACTCCCGCTGCGATCATAATTGCTCCCGCTCTTGTACGAGCGCTGAATGAGAATGAATTCGTGACAGTCTTTCGCGAACGAGCTCTTGAATGAGCGGCTCTCGTTGACTGCCGCGCAGCCGCTTCCGTTATTGTCGTCGTCGCCGCCGACATTATCGGCTCCGATCATTGAGTGTTCTCCCGTTCAGACCTGCAAGGGGGTCATTCTGTTGATCTGTGCGTGTATCATAAAATGGAGATTGTCTCGAAGCGATAGCAGCCGATATCAGAGATAATCCTGCCGATAGCCCAGCTCGTCAAAAGGGAGAACTTCACACTGAATACTCCACATCGATAAAATAGTTTTCACGTGAGCCGGAGCACGAGCGGGCCAGTGCTTCTTCCTTGGCGAGAGCAACTTCAAAGATAAAGTGAGCGGATACAGCGTCATCTTGCCGGTCTGTACCGCAGCTCGTAGTGGTGCCGTGCGGCATAATTAATTAGCTGTGTTTTTCGTCGAGCGCTTCGAGGGTTCGACAATTCTCGGCATTGAGCTAGGGGCAACGCGACAGAGCGATTTGTTTGTTCGCTCCGGATTGAAAACAATATACAGCCATGGACAAGCAAGACTAGTTCCACCTTGCACCAGGTCCATGTCTGACACGGTGAAGGCAAGACGAAAACAAGAACAACAGGAATGTGGCAAGGACATTCGCTGAACGAACTTCATGAATGCCCGTTCTGAACTTGAATTGATAGCAACGTAGAAATGGCCAGGGGGCACGGCGAGATCCGCGCCCCCATTCTCCGAAGCTCATTGGATTCTTGATGGATATTCGATCTCCCGGGATCCTCTCCATTCCCCGCACCGACTCCTCCGCGAGCGGGACCTCAGGGCTACTGCCCTGAGTGCTCATCCTTCCCGAAACCGAGTTTTCCTACTCTAGGGGATCACCCGTATGCGAGCACTCGCGAACATTCAACCATTACTGGTAGAATCGTACCAAGTCTCGAAATTCGACAACTGCGATAGGCCTCCTGAAATCGCAGATCGAAAGTCTGGTCTCCTGTCGGCCGTGGCCCCTGGAATCCAACCAGACATCCTCACAGAGGGAAGGCGGATCGCGGAACATTTTTCCGCGAGGAACACTACCCTCTGTAACCGAGAGGTCTCTGCGAGAGGCTCGAGGACGGCACAGACACAGTCAATAGCGTCGATGCGAATCTGCATAAGATTTGCAGACTGCTCTGATCATCGAGAGCGGATTTGACAGCCTTGCGCCGCCTTGGCTTGGTCCGAGGGACCTGAAATATTTGGGGAACGATTCGTCGAGAGTCGTAGCAGACGCTCCTTCTTGACCGGGAAGTCGTCACAGACCTACAATCTTCTGCCCAAGGCTTATACCCAATTGACTTGATGGGCCTGTGAGCCGTCCCAACTATCGAAGTGTTGTAGATTATTCCGATTCGAAGGGTTGATATTCGAGGCAAGGTCTTCGCAATCCACCTACCCAAGGCCGACGCCAACGTGAGACTCGCTACATCGTCCTGAACCCTCGAAAGTCGGGATGCTCGCTCCAGGATTCAAGTTGAAGAATTTTCAAATGCGCAGCTTTTCCCGAGACCGAATGAGAAAACCCTGTGGTGCACATGAAATCGGAATTAAATCACGAGCAAGGGAAATAAACATATAACTTGCTTTGAAGCGGTAGACCAAAATCATCCGTCATGATAATTTACAGGCAACGGATATGTGATCAGAACCTCTACTTTGTTCCCGTCGCTGCTTTTCAGCGATCACAAATGTCTTGCGTCGCTTCAGCACCTAGTCCGGAACCCAGTGAAGCCTGAGCTATGTTGAGACCCGAGAAGCGATTGCGAGATTCGGCTCTGTGACGCATTCGGGGATGCGGAACTCGTATTCGACGAATAATTCGAATAGATCATAGGTAGAGTCCGATGGAAGGTCAGGAGGAGGCAACGCTCCGTTGAGGTGGTGCGCATGCTGCCCCAGTTCGATCTAGACTCGATGGGAGTAAAACTCAAGGTGACCGCTCGGAGACGACGGCGATCATCCGAACCTATCGGCAGACCTCGACCATTGGAATTTCCTATTTCCGAATATAGAAGAGGAAGTTCTGGTCCTCGGATCCCGGTGGAATCACAGCGGCCTTCGGTAATTTTTCTCCAGGAGGTGGTTCCCTCCGGTTCTCAGCCTCTGGTGAGGGATTGAAGCCTCCGGAACTGGAATCGACAAACGAGTAGCTCCGACAAGGATGATGTCGTTTCGAACACATACAGTTTCTTCGCTTGGTGTCAAGATTTACTGTCTCGTGTTCCCCTTTTTCACCTAATTCCGTTGGAACGTGTAACAGTTGATTCGGAGTGACGAGATTCCGGCCGGTCCGGTGCGAAATTCCGCTGCCGCCGCCGCGCCGTCGTCGGAACAACGAGCAAACCTGTTGTCAGCGATTTTTATTTCTGGGCTGAAGGCCCTTCAGGTTTCGCTGCTGTTGCCGCAGCCGTCGTGGCTGCAGCCGTCATACTTGCTCCCCATTGCGAAGAGCGGCACGCGGGGCGAAGTTGACCCAGTTGGCTGAAGTTTCGCTGCTGAAGTCAGGTTGGCAGACTGACTGACTGGCTGGCTGGCCACCGATGAAGCGGTGTCGGTGCTGCTGCCGCTGATGATGTTGGTTGGCTGCTCAATTCCTTCTCCCTCGCGTGGTCCAGTTTGGCGGCAGCAGAAGCGGCGGCGGCTCCCTCACTGAGAGAAAGGAGGATCTACACGCTGCGGCTGCACACGTCGAGCTTCGCGATCACCACCGAAACACACATGAAGCTATTCCAACAAGTGAAAACAACAAACTTCGCCACATCGGCTCCCTCAGTTCCCCCATCCCCCAATCAACGAGCGGGCTTTGCTACTATCCCGAAACGACCTTCGTGATCACTGCCCGGACTTCGAGTGCATTGGACAGTTCGAAATTTTGCAGTTCGTGAGGAAATTCTAGCTCTACGAGATTTCGGGAGACATTTGTGGTGAATGGAGGAGAGTTGAAGTTGTGTTTCGATTGGATAATTATGAGGAGAATTCTCACAGAGACGGGTAAGTTGCTCACTCACGTTCTCCTCGACGACGTTGACTGGGACACGGACGTCTCCCGCATTTCCGTACTTTTTTTCCGGAGCGAATTCAAATACGCTATGAGCACGTTCACCCTCTCCAGAGAAGATATCTCCGGAGATGACCGTGAGTCTACCTATCCAGGAGGAGATCGGAACGATAAGGCGTCTCCGTAGGAACTTGGGAGTATCCTGAACAGGGAAAAAGTTCACCGAGCCCAGCTGAACGTGGCGGGGACCAAGTCGGCTCAGTACCGTCATGCACCCGAATCCGAAAGATGAATACCCAATCAGAAGAGCTACGTTACATCAGATTACCAAGTGGAAGACATCGCGGGAGACCTTTTATTTCGAAAACATTGTGACCGCGGCTCTGAAGTGAAGGCGACAATCTTCCACCTCAGGAATGCAAGTCGATTGGAACGGGATTGATACGCGGAATGGATCCGGTCTCCTCTCCCGCTCTTACTTAGTCACTGAGCCCCACAACTGTACTTCGAATCGCTGGAGTCAGGAATGATGTAATTTCTGGGACTCTTTGGGGCATCGTTGATTGTTTCACCGTGACACTGGATGCCAATTTCTCAAAGACTATCCAGCGGAGACTATTGCTCCCCGAATATTTCATTATTTCCGTCATTGACCGAATGTTGACGTCATGATTCATAGAGAATCTATCTCATCTGACCTCGTGGGAGTACTCTCGCCGAAGGTCCTGTGCACATGCTTCAGCTCTCTGGAACAGTCCAACTTGAGTGCGGGAGGGAAATCAATTTTTCATGGTTGCGAGCATGCATCGGGCCTCGAGAACCGAGTAGATTGCCTCTCCGCCAGGAATCGGTAAG